AGGTGTGTTTGATATGGGTTGAACTGAAATCTGCAGGAAGGTGGCTCTCCAGGAACAGGGTTGGCCACCCCTGGGGTAATACATGCCATGCTTCAGTTAATCAAATGTATTTATTTATCTAAATTACATCTAATGCATTAATACAACATATTTTAGTTTTTAGGTTTAGTGAAATTCTGTGAAATTTAGTGAATTCTGACCTAAAGTTACAGTATCTGAGAGTATTCTAACCTACAGTTTGTTCAGATATTACTGTAGAAACTATAAAAACATAGCATCTTATTGTGCTTTACTTTTAGACTATATGTAGATACAAATACCTACTTCACAAGAAAGGTGTCTTGAGAACATTAACGGTTTCCATCGGTGCTCTAGATCAGCCGGTTTCAGACTGTTGAATTGAAATTTTCCTAGGGGTGGGCAGATCGATCCTAATGTACCAAAATTTTCAATACAGGAGATGTACCAAAAGGTTCAATCCTTAAGTAGGAGTATCAAACTTTTAAATATGTCTGTTTTTTATATAATAATAAAACAGAAGGTGATAAAAAACACTTTATAAAATAGCTATCAAATATTTAATTGAAGTGCCGTATAGTAATCAATATTGATATCAATGATACTTGTCTTGAAATACTTGTATTGGATTAGAAAGAAAACAATTATGTATCTATTATATCTAAATGATCATATAAATATTAGTATCGCCAATCCCTATTTTCCTGCAGGGACTGGTAGTCAGGGTTCAGGAAGGATGAGGGAGCGAGGACTCAAGTGCAAACAGGATGATTTATTGATAATAACAATAAAACAAAAGAAGAACAAAAACCACCCCGAGGGGGAAAAACATAACTATGACACTAACAAACAAACTTGGCAGGCATGACAAGAGCAGGAACACATGGGGAGTTTAGACGAAAAACTGGCACAGAACAGAAAACATGAGGGGATTATAAAGCAAAAAGTAAATTGACACACAGGTGAACATGACAAACTAATAATGAGTTAACAAGGAGGGTGGGACTAGACAATAGACGGGAGAGCGAGAGAGAGTACAAGCGCGCGCGCGTCAGTGGGACGCAGAGCCTGCGCGGCCGCATCAAACGGGAGCGCGCACGCTCTGCGCACACTCACGAAGGCACGCGCACACACGGAGACACACACAATGACATAAACAAGTGCTCGATCCAAAAAACGTGAGCCGAGCACAGCAGGACAGGACTAGACATGACTAGAGTCCGGATTCTGCCACCAAAACAAGAATTTACATGACCAGAGTGGCAGAACCCAGATCCTGGTTGGCACGATTATGCATTCACAATAATATGAATCGTTATGGGGTGGTCAAATATATATTTATATTATCTATTATTTAAATTATTTATATTATTATTTACGATACAGATCAGAGACAACTTTTTAAAACTTGCAATTAAAAGGCTGACCTCCATCTTGTTTTGGTATGCTTCAGGTGCAATCCCCCAAACCCCCTGTAATTTGCTACCTGGTGAGTTCCCTAACCATACCCTTTACTGAGTGATGAGCAAATCATGATCTAAGTGCAGTGTATGGCGCAAAAGGCAATACAGTTATGTCCATATCCAATTTTTCTATTTAAAAAACGGAAAATATGATTTGCGCCTCACTGCATTGTCTAAAAGTGTTGTGCTTATTATCTTTTATAAGTCAGTTGTGTCACGTCCTAGCGCATTTTACATCGCGGACTTTGTACAGTTAGTGGAAAAACTGAACGCTTCACTTTAATTTCGTAATTTCATTTGTTAAGCACGATAGTTTATAGTTTGTTTCAAAACTATTTCAAAATTCAGTTCTAATTGCCAGCAAACAAATAAATGAACATTAACAACAAAGTGTGTACAAAAAACTTTGCAATAGTTATATGCAAACACATATGGTGATTAATAAATCTACAAAACATGTCAGTTGGACATATCTAAACTTATTTTTATTTCAACAAATATAAATATGCCTATATTAAATACAACTAATAATAATAACATTACACAAATGCAAAGTGTCATGAATAAATAGACTACAATAGAGCTTGATTCCAAACCCCCCGATGTGAAGAAGGCATGGAGGTAGTGGTTTTTATATTTATATAGAAAATAATTATTTTTGTGCCATTTTAATCCTTTATATTTTTCATATGTAAAGATATTTTGGTGCCTTAACACACCTCCTTTTCAGACCAGCACGCTCATACACAAAGTGGCGCAAATGGATTTGCTATTTAAACAATGTGGTGCAAAACATGAAAATGAAACCTGCGCTTGAATGAAAATAGCAACAAATAATGCCTTGCTAGGGCCCTAGAACTTAAAAATGAGGCTGTACAAATGAATAAGAATCGTGCACCAAATCAAAATTATACAAATTGTCATGTGATTTTGTTGGTTTGATGGCTTCAGCCACAATATTCTAAGCCACATTGCTTTACTTGTTAGCTTACAAGGAAATTATCATCAAAAAGAAAGCCCTGCCCCCTATTCAGTATTCCATTTTAGTTAGAAGTACAGCAGCATACTGAAACAAAAGACTCAGCAACTTCCGGGTTATACTGACTTTAAAAATCAGCTTACATGAGACAAAAGAGCTGAAGGCTGAAGTCTTGTTTTATGAGGTCTTTTGATGCTCTGTAATATTGTTCGGCAGAGACCTTTCGCTTATGGACAAGTGTATTGGAGCGTAATCAAAAGCGTGGCTCTGTCCTCTGGGTAGTGCATATAAACATTGAGATTCTTAGCAACACTTCTCACTGAGGCTGAGTGCTTTTGCGTCATCTCAGGGAAAAAATAGAGGCAGATTCTCCCACACTGTCTGCTAAATAAATCAAGCAGTGGTAATGGTTTGTGTTCTCAGCAGAACTGTATGCAGAGAGAGAATCTTTCCTTAACATGTTTGCAGACCATTTATGACAGTCGAAGTCAGATTATGATATTTAACCTTGAGATTACGGTATTGCATCGCAAACACCTTTTCTCACTTTTCTCACAAGGGTCTGTACATACTTTATGTGGCTCAATTTAGTAGTTACTAAACTTGGCTGATATCATAAACCAATTACAGTTTGATGACATAAAACAGGTGAACACCAAGGTCACAACTGAATCAGATATTACAATGAAGTCAATGTCAACTGCAAACATTCCATTTATACGTATGTGTGCCGATTGCTTTATTATTTAGACTCTTTTAAAATGTTCTTTGCAGAGCAAATGTTATGCCAAATAAATGCTTTCATTGTGATCATGAATGCAGTAGCCAATCACAGGCTTTTATGATTTCTTACTGAATACATTTGCAAATGATCTCAATATAAAGAACAAAGAGCTTAAATGATTCATAGGATTCGTTTACAGCTTTTAATATGGCCACCATCAGCTGTTCTTACATTGATGTGACACAGTCAATTTTCAGAACAGTTAAACTTTTGCCGCTGTGTTGAATAATACTGAATGTGTGTTGTGGTTATTACTTGGTATTATGGTTAAGAATAAAGCAATATTAACTTGTTTAACCCCTTTACACCATAAAAAAGACCAAGTAAGTGAATAAGTATCCATTTACAAGTTCATTTTTAATGCATGTCAAGTCAAACAGTTATACTTCAAAAGCAATGTGCTACCATTCATTCATTAATTTTCTTGTCGGCTTAGTCTTTTTATTAATTCGGGGTCGCCACAGCGGAATGAACCGCCAATTTATCCATCAAGTTTTTACGCAGCGGATGCCCTTCCGGCCGCAATCCATCTCTGCGAAAATATGCTAACATGAAATAAGAAAATATTAATACTTTTTTTTATCTTTACTTTTGTTCTGATAGTTTGGTGGAATACCCCCCCCCCCCCCACACACACACACACACACACAAAAAAAAAAACAACCTGATATGTGATGTCCATTGAAATGGATGCAGAATTCCAAAGGGTTAACAGCATTGGGGTTATACATACTTTGTACTCTGCTACTTGAGCAATCTTGATAAGCCATAATGGGCGTTTCTATCTCATGCTGAACACAGTCAACCAATCACAACAGACTGGGATATTGAACAAATCTCCACAAATTAGTGTCATGCAAAGGAGGAGTTTGGAAAAAATGAATCGCTAACCAAATCATATTGGAGTCATTGGGATAATTAGGTAAAAATAAATGCAGTTTATAAGACATCTTTCACACAATAATACCGGTAAATACTGTTTCTGGAAAACTTACAGAATTACTTTAACGGTAAATAAAAAAAAAGAAAAAAAAGGAAAATGCGCGGTTCACATAGGCAAGGATGTTCCAGGGTTTTTCCATCCATATCAAAATACAGTTAAATTCTGACATTATTAAAGAGATATTACCTTTAAAAGCCTGCACTTTTATTTGTACAGGTGTCAAGCTGTTTGTTGATGGTTTTACTTTTATTGAATTGTTTAGCATTTATGCAGCTGCTTTTGTCCAGGGACTAACCAAAATACTTAGATATAGGAAAAGAATGTTGTTACCATCCGAAAACAGAAGAGCAAACTGCAGCTAAAACAGCTTATTTATACATTAATTCATTACAAATTCTGCGGATGGATAGGTAAACCACTTTGATGAAAAGATATTTAGGAACACACATCATCTGACATCATCAGAGGAAGAAAACAAAATTAATTTAGCTTTACTTTTCTACAGTGGGAGGAAGTGGAGATCATGGTCCACGGCCCATTCATTGCAAATACATGAAATGGCTATTAAAATCTTCTCCTAAATTTCTCCTTTTGTGTTCTGCAGAAGAAAGCCAGTCACAGTGAATAAATTATGACGATTTTTGAACTATCCGTTCAATGATGGAGAGAACTCATAAATAATCCAAACTCAAAAGTCTGTCCTGGTCCTATTAGGTCCAATGGTCATTAATAAAACTTTTCCTGTTCTTTTTTTTTTTTTTTTTTTGTGAAACTTAGAGAATGATTTTCACTCTAGATGTTCCTACTTCTTACCTTCATGTGTGGCTGCTGAAAGGTGACTCTGGAGTTGTTGACCAAGGCTGAATACCTCAACAGGTTGGTTGGTGTGGCTGGAAATCTGTGTAAACTTGCTGTCTGGCTGTGTAGAACAGACGAGAAGCAGATATGCACTGTGTCCTTCAGGGCTTTTAGCTGTGACTCCTGCAACAAATTAAGTGAGACAACACACATGAGATTAATAGGAAAATGTTTATCACGCTGTCATCTTATCCTTTTGTCCTCAAACCATTTTTCTGTTCATTTTCTCCACGCTCTTTATGTCAAAATTGCAAAATCCCTGGCCTAAAAAGATAATAAAATTCATTCTCAAAGTTTACATTTCAAAAGATAGCAGGGGAAAACATTAAAGCTGTAGTGGAATGATGAAGCAGATGGTCTCACCTTATCCAGCGCTGCCTTCTCCAGTTCATCTTTGGCTACTTTGAGTTTGTTCTCCAAGTCCATCAGCTGTTGACCCTGCGCAGAAGTTAAAGGGTCATCTTATTATCATACAAAACTGACATCAGTCTTGGTTCTAAGTGTATATTTCAAAAACTGGGTAATATTTATGTGAATTGTTTCTTCCACAGATTAAAAATAAATAAATTAATTAATTAGTTAATACAAATTTGGAATTTTTCATGATTTTTAATTTTCCCTACTCAATTGCAAGTTTAAATTGCACAACTCATTTTAAACTTGGTTATAAACCTGCAATTGTTAAAAACAATAGTTGATATAGTTAAAATGTTTCCTTGTATTAAATCTCAGTACACAGGTCTCTCTTTTATATTAATATTTTTTTATTGGGTGATTTATAATAATGTATTTGTGCATATACATTTCATTAGATATTTTACCAATGCCAAAACTGAAAAAAAAAAAAATAATTTTTACAAAAAAAAACAAAACAAAACACTGCATTCACAAAAAGTAATACAGGCATAATAGTTATTATTTATTAATAAAAAAATCCCTTTTAATAATAATATTAATAATAATAAGTATGATGATGATGATTATTAGGATAAGTAGGATATTGTTTATTTATTATTATTTTAATTTTTTTTTTTAAATACTTTTACAATTTGACACATGCAAACCACTACAGAAATGTTCTAACCAACAGGCCCATGTCATATACAGTACAGATAATAAATAACCTACTATAATTTAAAAACATTAACGTATGCTATATTTTTTTTGTTTTCACAAGTTTTGGAGCAATAACTGTAACTGGGAATAGAACACAGCCAGGACCTGTGTTTCTTACTACAGCTCAAGGGGTGTAGTTGCAAGTGCACAAGTTTGCGATGCAGTTTGCGAATGTTCATTGGAACGACAGGTTTGGGAAACGTCAAATCAATCAACTATGTTTGTAACGATAGAACTTGCGACCTTAGATGGCTAATGGGGGTTTTCGGAAACGCACCCTTGAATGATACATTGGAGTATATTTTTCTCAAATGAAGGGTTGTCAGATACATCCTATGCATAAATTCATAATTTTGTTCAACTATTTTGATATTGGAAAGGGAAATGAAAGTACTCTGGCATATAGTCATTAAAATTATATTCCAAATATCTTTGCCACACATTTTTAAGTGATCCCATTGAAAAGTTGTAATAGACTAATAGTGCAGAATATATCTTAGAGATCTTTCCTTTTAAAGACTAGAAATTCACAGAAATCTCCTCTATATTAAGGGGAACTTTATTATTTCTTATTGCAACAACTCATTTGAATTAAAATATATTACATTTCTATTCAAAAGGGGGTGTGCTCATTTATGCTGGGCACCATGATCATAACACTGATTTAATAACAACAGCAAAAGTATTAGGTATATTTAGAAAATATCTTTTGTAATAATAGTGTGATATTAAGATAATAAGATATCCTATTCTTTCTGATGTTATTAATATACCAGTGTTATCGGGATAGTTTTTGGCAGAAAATATTGTCTTTGAATTTCCAAGGTGATTTGAGAATTATCCATAAAGCAACCTGAGACTAAGAAAAGCAAAGCAAACATTATTGGTTCAGGGACCTGAAACTAATATTGAAACTAATTAGAAAACCTGCCTTTCGTAAATGTTTAATTTAACATCTAATGTTCTTTGCACCTAAATGTCATAAAAATATCTAAAAACCTGCATTATTTCTCCATGTTTATAATATATTAGATTTTTACTTTGGCAAGTGGCTTTCTGCATAGACTAAGAGCATAATTATCAAACTAACCAAAGGGCCACATTTTTCTGCCTGATGTATTTTTTAATGTACTTCTGGTGCCATGAACTTCTATAATTGCTTATATAATTGAGCACGATTCTCTTCATTCAGGCAGAACTACATAATGACCTGCTTTCAATATGTCATTAGTTTAGTTTGAGAAATATTGCTCTCGGATGGTGCCGTGTGTAGAGTCAACAACAGACTGATTGAGATATGAACAGGTGGCAGAAATTCCACATCTGGCAGGATTAACACACACCATCTATACACATGCTTGGATATAGGAAATGCATTTAGTATTCATCCTTTACAGAAAGAACTTAACTGATCTTACGTTTACTGAAATATAAGGAGTCGTCTAAAATCGACCTTGAGCAGACTATGATTTTGCAATTTTAGAAATGTTTGAATGTTCCTGGAATAATGAAAAAGATAAATAATAATAAGAAAAAGATTTTCGGAATGAGAAAACGATAAAGTCTTTAGTTTTCAACAAGAAACAAAATCAATGCGAGACACATCAGTCTGAAAAATAGCTGTAAGATAGTGTTTTTCCTCAGTGACTCAGCAGCACACACACATTTGTACAGCTATCTTTATGGAAACTTCCCACTGATGTAATGATTTTTATACTAAATAAACTGTATATTATAGCTATTAAAAAGCAAGAACTTAAAAAGTTTCTTAAATATTTGCTATAATGCGTCTTTAATATTTTGTATTTATATAACATTATGAATTTACTTGTGACTCAAAATGAAGGTTCTTTGTTATGCGTTGACTAACATATGCAATTTAAGATATGTTATAATATGGTTTGTTTTCAATCAGTTTAAAATAGCTATCATCCGAGTATATTGTGAAATATATTTAATTGCTTGTTAAGCCAACAAAAATAAATATAAATGATAAGAAATATATAAATAAAATGAAACATTTAGTGTAATTAAAGCAAAGAACACTGCAATCATTCTGATTGTGTCTTCTAACAAGCTATTATGCCATTGCCAGCACAATTTTATTTCTTTAATCTCTCTGTAGTTATTTTCACAAACTTCTTTTGAGCACAACAGAGAAGAGGCGGATCACAAAAGCCAATGTAAAAAAGGATTGTTAACTAAAACATTTATTTTTAAAGTCACAGTATACACAAGGCAAATCAAAGAACTAAATTAGTTTAATCTCATTTTGTTCAAAATCAGGTCAACATGTTTAAAGTTAGTTTTAAAATACCTCGTCAGAGCAAACTTTAACACATTTAAGTCTTCTCTTTTTATCGTGTAGCTCTACTTTTTTCATACACTTGAGCTGAAGGAGACCTGTTCCACTGACTGAGCTTGGTTTCTTTCTTGTTTTGTTTTGATTGTTTGTTTGTTTGTTTTTTTTCTTAATATTTGTGATCTGATGAAATTTGTTCGCTTGCCACATTTGCCTCTGGCTTGCTTAGTTGGCATTGGTAGATCTGTCCTTGAATCACATCCTTATACTAAACTGAATCAACATTAAAGTGACTGAAAAATAACCTTGCTGTTTTTCTGTAGACCTGCTTTTTATTGCATTGCAAGCTTTACAATGTTACTAATAAATGTTTAAACTTTTTCACTATCTCTGTCGCTTGTCTTTGTAAAGCAGCTTGAACTGCTATAGAAACAAAGGTGACTTGAGGTAAAGGTGTTTGTAACAACAAGAAGTTATCATGTTCATCTGTCAACTGCCATTCTGACTTTCATCTGACATGCAGAGTTCCAGGTTTTGATTTATGAAAACAGTGCTCTTGTGTGCTTTTCCTCTGTGAGTCTGGAGTGAACTGCCACACTAAAAACCAAGAGCTGTGAAAACCAACTGCCATACAGTGAGTGTTTTGTTAAATATTTTTCTGTAAAAAGTGTGTTAAAAAAGGTTTTATCTTTAATAATTTTCTTATATAAAAAACGAACCATTCAGAATTTTTTTGATCACTTTTTAAAAAGTAGGTCACTATTCGCTGCCACATATTGTGTACATACAATTAAAGACAAAATTATCAGCCCTCCTGTGAAAATTTAACTATTTTTTTCAAATATCTCCCAAGTGATGTTTAACATTTTACAGTATTTTCTCTACATATACAGCTGAAGTCAGACTTATTACCCCCTATAAATTATTAGCCCCCTTATTTATTTTTTTCCCCAATTTCTATTAAACGGAGAGAAGATTTTTTTTCACTTTTCTAAACATAATAGTTTTATTAACTCATTTCTAATAAGTGATTTATTTTATCTTTGACATGATGACAGTAAATAATATTTGACTTGATATTTTTTTCAAGACTCTTCTATACAGCCTAAAGTGACATTTAAAGGCTTAACTAGGTTAATTAGGTTAACTAGGCAGGTTAGAGTAATTAGGCAAGTCATTGTATAATGATGGTTTTATCTGTGGACAATCGAAAAAAAAATAGCTTAAAGGAGCTAATAATATTGACCTTATTTAAATCATTTTAACAAAAAATAAAAAATAAAATAAAAAAATAATAATATAAAAATAAATAAAATAAAAATATTTTTATTTTAGCTAAAATGAAACAAATTTTTAAAAATCTGGGGGGGGTAATTATTCTGACTGTATCTTCCGGAAATTTAACATGATTAGCGCCTTTAAGAAACTTTTATGATATTTAAAAAATATATGATTTTTAAATCAATCAGTCCGTCCATCCGGCCATTCATCCATCCATCCATCCATCCATCCATCCATCCATCCATCCATCCATCCATCCATCCATCCATCCATCCATCCATCCATCCATCTATCCATCTATCTATCTATCTATCTATCTATCTATCTATCTATCTATCTATCTATCTATCTATCTATCTATCTATCTATCTATCATCTATCTATCTGCCCCATCCGCCTGTGATAAACGTGAACTAGCATACCAAGCAAATTCTAATGCTTTATATTAATAGATTTCGAATAAACATTAAAACTCTAGCTGCCCCACCAAGAAAAACATCAATAATTGGATTGCATTTCTTAACTCCTAATGTCATTTGATAACACACTCAATGCATTTTTCCAAAACATCCCATCTTTTTAAAGTATCAACCTCTACCATATGGTAGATAAGTTGGTTGATGGTAAAAGTACCATAATTCATAAATGTACATAAAAATATGTATCACCTTAGAATTATAAGGCTCTATCTGACATTTTTGTCAAAATTGAGTTATTGACATATTCTTATTAAATTATG